TATTTTTTTTATGCTTGATCATTTGTGGCAGAGAGAAAAATCACAACATGCAGAGAAAGTTTCTGCACATCACCTCCTAGGAAATTAAAATTCCTGCAACTTTAAAAGCACACAGTAACAAACTTAGGACAGAAATATAGTGTATTTTAGTGAAAAAGTGGGCAAACAAATGAAATTCATGATACAGTATGAGTTCCTGCTGCCTCTGTGTGTCTGTGCTGCGTGCACAGCCTCTGCTGTGACCCATGCTGTTAGCTGCTTCTAATATTAATGATCTCCTTGTGTTGCTGCACTCATTATGACTCTCTCTGGATAATGGCACCAGCTAAACGCCTTAAATGCACATTAATGTAATGTATTTCTGGCTCTGTGAATGCTGTTTGGTTCATTAAACTTGTGTGGGTAGCACTCAGTTTCCTCAGAGTGTCTAATATCATCAAGCATGCAGTTAAAAGCTTCTCAGCAGCTGAATTAAACGCAGCAGGAAGGCCTGTGGAAATTGCCATCGTGGCATGAAGCGTTATCCTCCTATTAGCATTCAGGGTGGCAACAGAAGGAATCATTAGGATGTTAAAATGAGTTGGAGGTAGGGGAATGCTGTGGGGCAGGATCTGCCTCCCACCCGTCAGGCTAAATTTGCAGCAGTCCAGAGAAAAGTTGCTTGTCAAACAGAATTCCAGCCAAGAAACTGCAGCAGTGGTGAAAGTAGGAGGTCACACTTCAAAGAAACTTCTCATAACAGTCATGGGTGAAGATTTTGTTTGAATATTTTGGGTGTGTGGTCTGTTGTCCTCCCCCAGGAAATTTTGAGCATCAAAAGCCCTTTACAGACTTCAGATATGTGTAAAGGTAATCTCACTCCTACTTTACCAACGGTAAAATACAAGCCTATCCTAACAGCTGTGATGGAGCTCAACTGACTGATATGTAACTAAGAATTTACCTGTAGCTGAACTGTGACAGCTCAACTGTCTGATGTGAAGAAAAGGACACAGTGTGCATGAAGTCAAAAATTAATGTTAGAATTTTGTTTTGCTGTGAGGGTCCCACACCTCAGGTTGGAACCTCACAAGAGGCCACAATATTAGCATTTTTATGTCAAATTTGCCAAATGGAAAACCTATAATTTCAATTAAAAAAACTTCTTAATTTTTTTATTTTTTATTTTTTACAGTGTTGTGTCCAGATTCTATTGTGCTTATCCAATCAACTAACTACAGCAGGTAACAATTATTGTGTTTTTACCCTCACTATAGATTGATCTTCTGTATAACAACTCCTAACACTACAGTCAGTTCAGAAAATATTAACTTTTAACACACTTTATGTCGCGGAAACTCTATGGAAATTTAGAGATGTTTTCTGTCCAGGATGACACAGTTAGAATGCTAAAAATAGTAAAAAGAAAAAAAAAAAGATAGAAAAATACTAAGTTGAATATCTTTGCTCTATTACAAGAATTTATTTTTGGCAAAATTATACATCACACATGTAGAAGAAATGATTTTTATGAAATATCAAGATCCTAAACTTAGAGTTGATTCATTTTTCGAACACAAGTACACATAACTAGTTCATCTAAAAGCTTTCTGATTTTACAGTTTCTTGCTGATTAATTGTGTAATTTTGGTGATTTGTCAGAGACTTTTAAACCTGACAGTGGGTTTTAAACTCTTCATTTTAAATGCATTTATAACCTTAATTCAGTACTTTTTAGAAGCACATTGAAAAACACCTTCCAGTCTCCATGTTTCATTTTCTGCAGACCTTGCTCAGGATTTGGGCAGTGCCATTCTACCTGCAGATCCCATCAGGCAGATCCCTGTCAGTCAGAGCTTCAGAAATGGTTCTGTTATCTTGACACAGTTTGATCACATCGTTCCTCAGAGGCCTGGACATGTGTCCAGTCTGTTCACTGGAGGCCACAGATGGAGTGCAGGTTAGGCTCCAGACACAGCTTAGGAATAATGAAAGCAAACAGGACGTAGCTGAACACAGCAAAGAGTCTGAATGCTTTTATAAATAAGAGATTTTAGCTTGAAAAAACATGTTTTCACATTACTTTTGGTGTAGACTGATAGAAACAAGGCCATTGAAACACAACAAAGTGTGCAATAAGCAATTTTTTTTAAAGCGGATGTACCTAAACCTTCAAAACCCCAAAGTGCTCATATAAAATACAGAACTGTGTCCTCTGCTTTTCTAAAAAAGATGCAGGCAGTATTGACATGCACATAAATCAATAGATCAGCTAACAGTGGGTAGAAGGAGCCTCGCACTCACCTAACCTCACCTGCATATTGCCTGAAGTAACTCAGCAAATCCATTTTCACTTGACCTTATCAGGTCAGCGTTCTTTTTTTTTTTTTTGCATACAGAAATTATGTAACGATAATAAAGAAGTGTTACCCACCATCAAAAGAAAATCACCAGCAGCGAAATGCTAAAAGGTGAGAATAAAAAGAGCAAAGATTTTTTTATTTATTTTTTTTTTAGCAGTTTTGGTCATTAGGGTTTCATATGCTCAAGCATAATACAGTGTGGTTTATCAAATGGTCAGAAATAACAGAATAGATTTCTGTTCGTTAAGGTAACACAGGTCCTGCCTTTGCTGTACACATACAAATCATGCTTACTGTTTTGTGTAGTCGCCCCTCACAAAGGCTGATTTAAAGCAGGAAACACTCTGGAGTAATGTCCACATGTAAGAAAACAGAAAAACGTTAACAGATACAATATTTCACATTCCAGATGTTCAGTCCTGATGATGACAGAAGGATTAGAAACAAAGTGTGACTTGAAGAAAACTTGGCTTAGTTACTTGAAGCAACTTCAGTTTTTGCAGCAACCTTACAGACTTCATGGTTTACTGCTTCACTCCTTCACAGTTCTAATAAAAAGCATATTTTTTTTTTATTAAAAAAGTAAGAAAATGTGCAGTGCTTCCATATTTAAAGCTGTTAAGAGACATTAAAGAAGCAGATAAATATAAGTACGCAGTTCTAAAGAAACAGTTAAGTATAAAACAATCTAAGCTTTGTGCTTGGACCCTCTGAAAGAACTGAGAGCAAAACATGAAAAGGAAGAATTCAAGAGAACAGCTGGATGTTTAAAAAGAATCTTTTGTACTTTTTATTCAAGTTTTACCATTTATTTAGGGAAACTGTTAACATTTGTCTTATCATAATGAAAATGTACATTTATCAATCTGCATAAAACATCACATGTACAGTACATCAAAATAAATACATCATCTGGTGGGTTGATTGAGTTGCACTCGAAGATCAATCGGTTGGAACTACAGCTACACTATTCACATCGCGACCGCCGCATCTGCAACAATGCATGAGTTTCATTCAGCTCTTCGGTCCACAGCAGGTCCACAGCTGGGGACTCTGGGGCCGGACTAGGACGGTCCATCAATCTAACTAAATGTGAGAGGAAAAAGACAACGGTACTGCACCGGCCCTCGAGTCTGAGATTGAAATACTATGTAACTACAGCTAAAAGCCAGTTGTGGACCAGCCGGATTGAAGGGCCTGCAAGGTGACTGCAGGCAGGAGGGAGTTCAGGGACAGGAGACAAACCAAAACTAAACATCCACCTCCACTCAGCTGTCGTCCTTCAGATTCCAGTCCAACACCTGGGGTTACCATGGTAACAGCGAGTGTGGCCATGCATGTATTAAGAGCTGGATGCAGCTCAACCACAAAGCTGCTGATTGACTCAAGACTATACAGAACCAAGAGACATGATCTGTTTCAGCCTCTTTACATTCCCACAGTGTTTTAGGATAGACTTTAAGATTTTACTTATGGCTTCAAAGGGTCCCTTATAGCTTCTGTGCAGGTCTCATTGTAGAACATACTTTTATTGGCGAGCTTTTCCTGATTTTATTAGAGTTTTCATTTCATTTGAACTGTCTTTTACTGTTTCTCTTTTTTTGGACTTTAAAATTTTTTTTTTTTATTAAAGTCATTTTGTGTCTCATATTGTTAATTTTGTGTCTCTTTGTATAATAATGCATCTCTTTGTGGTTGTCTTATTTGGCATGTTTTGGATCTCTTTGAGGTTGTTTGGGTTTAACTTTAGTCATTTTGTAACAGATTGTAGGTATTTTGTGTCTAATCTTATGTATTTTGTATTTCTACATGATTGGTTTTGTATAGTTTCGATTATTATGTGTCTCTGTTTGATGTTAAATCTCTTTGTGGTTTTTTGCATTAATTTTGGAAACTTTGTGTCTCATTATTTATTTTTAAACCATTTTTTTGGGTTATTTTTTAGCCATTCTGTTAATTTTTTGGAGTCTTATATTGTTAATTTTGTGTGTCGTAAGTTCGTAAGTCGGCTGGGATAGGCTCCAGCACCCCATGTTTATCATTGCTATTAATATTGTATATCATATTTCTGGGATAAGACTTGGGCCCATTTGGTGATCTGTCCATGTGCATGGAACAGGTAGACTCTGATACTAACAATTAGGAAATGAAATGCATTTAATGACAGCGGAAAGAAATCCACTCATACATAATATTAGTAATAGGCTGATTTCATGAAAATCTTAAGGATTCTAACTTCTGGGTTTCTTTTAAACTGCTCACAGTGAAGAAAACAATAAAATGATCCTAATTCCCCCCACTGTGTCCTGTCCGTGACTCCTTCCCCTTCTCCCCTCCTTAACTTCTGTTTGTCCCATTACACTCAGCATCGCCTCTTTTCTCACCACATTGGATGATCTCAGATGATCTTTGGGTCTTTCCCTTCCGTCCTCCATCTCCCATCATCTCCCAGCGACGCCAGTCTGTTACTGACTACCTGCCTGCTTCCTCTTTGCACCACATTTCTGCTCCTGTTTCCCACCATGTCTACACAAGCTGTCACATCAAAGGAGGAGAGAACAGGATCAATCACTGCGTCTCATGTCAGAAGGGGCTGGACATCATTATTTGTATTTACATCGCCTCCTCCTGGGCGGAGAAGGGAGGGAGGGGAGGATGAAGAGTTAGGATGGGGCGGTCGGTCTCGGTTCACAAATGTCTTTTGAGAGGCTTCTCATATCGATACTTCATATTCACGAGTGTCCTGCTGCGAGTGAAAAAGACAAAGGAAGAGTCAGAGGCAGTGTGAGCTGTAAGCTCCAAAGAGTGGACGATTAGTTAAATGTAGTGTTTCAGTTGAGTGGACACTCACTGCTCCTGTCTCATAGAGCGGGTTGTCAAACTCTGTCTCCACAGTGATCTGTCGGTAAGGGTGGGGGTAGATGAGAGGCAGCCTCAGGTTGGAGTGATATCTGCAGCTGATGGACACAGCAAGTGAAACGTTAAGACAATTCAGAGATCCAAGTTCCAGAAGCAATTTCCATCTCACTACAGCGGGATAGAAAAGATTTTACATCTGTTTGTCTAGTTCTGACTTAATTTCTTAGAGTAAGGTAGCTAGAAATGACATACTTAATATCTTGTTTTGTGCTATACAAGAAAAATCTAAATGTAAATTAACATAAAATCTGAATAATATAAAAATAAGATACAATAAGATAAGATTAGATGGAACTTTCTAATTCACAAGAGGAGCTTCTTATGCCAGATATTGCTCAGACAAAATTTTATAATCAAACAGACGTATGATACATTACTAAAAATCCAAATAAGTGAACAAACATAAAACTAGAATAGAAAAGTAAAAGGTAACACTAAACTAATAAAGCGATTTTGCTTTACTACTCCAATGTCCCTGCCAGTGCACATGAAGGATAAATACTGCAGATAATGCTAAAAAACATAGACACACACATACACACACAAACACACCTACACACACGCACACACACACACACACACACACACAGACAAAATTGTTGGTACCCCTCGGTCAATGAAAGAAAAACCCACAACGGTCACAAAAATATGTTAAATCTGACAAAAGTAAAAATAAATAAAACTTCTTTGAATATTAAACAATGAAAGCCAGACTGCTTTTGAGCCATGGTTTCACAGAATAATTAAAAAAAATAAAGGTCAAGGTACATCAGTGTCAGATCGCACCATTCGTCATTGTTTGAGCAAAAGTGGACTTCATGGGGGACAACCAAGGAGGACGCCATTGTTGAAAACAAATCATAAAAAAGCCAGACTGGAATTTGCCAAACTGCATGTTGACAAGCCACAAAGCTTCTGGGAGAATGTCCTATGGACAGACGAGACAAAACTAGAACTTTCTGGCAAGGCACATCAGCTCTA